AGTGGAAATCCCTCATCTCATAGTTCTCCTTCAAAGGTCCCCACACATCTTGCGATAATCGTACCATAATCGCGGGAAATCCCGTGATCGTACGATTATCGTAAGGTGTGTGGAAGCCGTGCGACCTCTACTACTGTAAGGTCGCACGACTTTTAACTTACGAACATGTTCGAAAACCCGCCGAGCATCGTACGATGTTCGGCGGGTGTGTAGCATGTTCGTACGATAAAAGCCGGACAGGCCGGTGGGCGCAAGCGTACACTGCCCGTTCGGCATTGCGGTCATCAGAAGCCCGGCCTTCAGGGGGGCGCGGATTGCGATCATCGCAAGTACCATCTGCCTGTCCAAGATGGGCAGATCGTACGTTTTTTTAATTACCTTACAACCATCGCAAGACTTTCGAAGAAATGACATAAGAAATCACTGACACAGAATATTGAGATACAGTAGTACTATTGCAATAGTGAAATACTCACTTAGGCTGGATTTATGGTGGTTAGGTCCCTTAACGTGTGTTATGTCACACGCTAACAGCACAGGTGTGTTGGGGGCTATTACCAGTGAATGACACAGCAACATACCTTATGAGTTGAACTGAATAAGTTTATGAGTGGCCCAGTTATTCTAGCATAGAGGTATACATCATTGGGTATAATAGCCTCGGAAGTAAATCTGTCAGGTTACCATCTTATAATCTTGACTGAGGCTGGGTTCACACCATTTTCCAGATCAGATCTGGAATGGAGTGTGTTGCATTTTTTGCAGCGTTTGGAGTTTTTAGTTGGTGCTTAAAATGTTTGTGTTTGATGCGCTTCTATGCGTTCCAGTGCATTCCAGACCAGACAAAATGAGACATGCAGTATTTTTCTGGTCTGGTCTGGAACGAAGCCAGAAATACCATAGGGATACATTGAGATGCATTTTGGGTCCGGAAGCAGTCTGGTGTGGAGATGATCTGGATGTGGTGTGAATGGGCCCTAAAGTGGAGTGAATGCCGGTGAAAGTACACGTGCTGAATAGTGAATGGTGCACAGTCATGTTTTCTTTACTATAAATATGAATACGGTTTACTTTACTGTGCCTGTACTTCAAGAGATATTAAAGTCAAAATATTTTCAAGCTATTTCAAATGCTGATTAAGTCCCATACAAAGGATGCAGCTCCCTGATGTTTAAACGTTTTAGTTTCCTGCAGAACCAGCCAGTCCCCTGAGCACTGGCCCTGATATCCTGTTTTTGGGTGGCTCCTTTCCCTTGCAGGGTCCTATGAAGCCACCCTTGTGTGTGCTAGTAAGCAGCATGTGTCTCTGAAAAAACACACAGGCACAGCAAAGCAAGGCATTCCCCTCCATTCTCCATGAGAGATAGTGATGTCCCTTATGATCTTGTGCTGGACAGGAAGTTCAGGGAAGCTAAGCTAAGAGAGTTGACGTCAACTGTTCTTAAACATGATGGCTGTAAGTGTTCGGGCAAAAATGTTACGAAATACTGTGCAGGGCAAAAGTAAAACAGTTCATGATATAAATGAAAGTCCAACTTTTGGAGTAGATTAGAGAAAAGATATAACCTCTTTGAGGTTTCCATTGCTGTCTGTGTTACTGCTTCTGTGACCCTCATTTCTTTTCCTGTTGTTCCAAGAATAACACTCCCCAGTGGTAACACAGACTACAATAAACACCTGACATGTATACTAACCCTTCCATGCTCTAAGCAGCCTGTTTATTTTGTTGTATTTATTTGATTGGTATATTACATTATACATCCTCCTGTATTGTGTTGACCTAGATCCAAACAGGCAGCAGACTTTACCATCCTCTGAAAACCATGTTGCGGTGGATAGCTTCTCAGAGGGTAGTTGACAACCGATTACAGGCATTCAGGAGGCGATTCTTTTTCTTGCATTGCAATACTGTGCTGCAACAACGTGTTGCATTCCTCTTGACTGCAATGGTCACATTTGGTAACACCTTCCAAATGCCACATGTTGTAGGAAAATTTGCCACAGCCAAGGCATATGTACAAACCCATGTGGCCGACATGTTGGGTTTTAGGAGATGGTAAAAATGCACCATCCGTCTGTTTTCATTGCCCTTTGCCGCCTGTGTGAGCGAGGACTTAGTTAGCTAGTGAATTTCACTTATGAGCCTTCTTTGTGAGTTATACTGCCTGTGGATCTGATCAAGCAGCAAGTTGCCATGTTGTTAATACAGACTGGGTCTCAGGAGGAGATTTTTTGCATATAGTGTCATTTGAGACAAGACACTGTCTAAATCTAAGAAAAAACATTGTTAATTACACACAAGGATTACCGGTAATGAATTCCTTGAAATACAGACAGATGAATGATCAGCAAACATTCCTTTATATACAGATCCCTTTGTCAGTGGAAATGCACGGCAGATGGAGTATTGGACAAGGTAGTGGTTCCTGTGTCCACTTTTCACAAGTTCACAAGTTTTATATGGAAGTTGCTCAAAACCCCAATCACCTCACACCTGCTCAGTTGTAGCATGCAACCTAAGACCTCGTTCACATTGAGCGATTTATCGCGCCGTAATTCCCGCGATATCGCGGCAAATTACAGCGTGATATCGCGCTCCAATGCAATCCAATGGGGCAAAGGGTCCTGCTGTCGCGGGTCGTGTGTCGCTACAGCAGGACCCTTTTTGGAGCGGATTTAGCCGCAATTCAAGCTTGCTCAATGCAAGCTTGAACGCGACCTCGCGCGGCAAATCTCGCGATGTCGCGCAATATGCAAATCGCGCAACAAACGCGCGATTTGCATATCGCGCAGTGGGAACGGGGCCTTAGGGGAAAATGATAGCATATAAGGGTAGTGAGCCGTGTCCCTCAATGGACTGTGAGTACAAAAATCCGATTTTCTCTATAGTCCACAGAGGGACAAAGTTTGATGATAAGGAAGTAACCTAGGGATGTCCAGAAGCAGTCCAAACAGAGGGGCAGGCACACTAAAACGTGTGCATGAGGCCTTAAAATGAATGCTTCTCAGATCAAGTTCTTCTGCATTTAAACACGGCTAAAGGCATTCCACCTAAATGCTGGCGAACACACAGTGTGAATTATACTATTTAAAATCATTACTTGCATTACTCCCTGGATTTTAGGGTGAGTTGACACGGCTGCAGGTGCCTAATGGGAAATGTGGCTCTCTGTCCTTTATATTTGAAAATCTTAAATTCAAAGGGTAGATTGAATGATTATCGGTTTGACTCGGAAGTCCAAATCCGAAATAACAAATTTATTATGTACCCGAATATACGAAAACTATATTCAGGCATCCATAAATTTGTCAACACCAGCATGTTCTGCGCATGCCCGCCGCCATCTAGGAGGCGGATCGTATGATGTTATGACAGTGACGTCATACACTGAACGAGCAGCGGCCACATTGGCTGCGGGCGCATTCTGCACATGCACACCGCCATTTTAGAGTATATTTTGGTATACACCAAGATGGCGGCACCCGAACATGTGGGCCATGCACAAGTCAACAAAAGGGACAGCTGCCTCGAGCCCAGTCATTATTGTGGGCCCAAAGCAGCTGCCCCTTGAGCCTACAAAGAGTGGAAGGGATTCTGGAGGGAGAACAATTGATTCCCACTAACCCTACACCTTTAAAAATTATTGCAATAATCCATTCGTGCAAAACAACATTCAAGACCTTTTGGAGCTTGTAGATCAACTTTGGTTAGGGAATCTAGCGGTTCTCAATGTTTGAGAAAACAGCGCTGGGAATAAAGTGAATAGTGCAAGATACAACGTATCAGGTGCCTGGGATTACTTAATTGCATTAATAATTTTCCCTCTAACTGCAGACATCTTTTTAAGTTTTGTCCAGTTGTAAATGACTATCCCGTGACTATCTGTGGGATCCAGTGAAAGAACTAATAAGGATGCAAGTTCTGTTCCCAGGGACTTCATTTACAACTGGACAAAACTTAAAAAGATGTCTGCAGTTAGAGGGAAAATTATTAATGCAATTAAGTAATCCCAGGCACCTGATACGTTGTATCTTGCACTATTCACTTTATTCCCAGCGCTGTTTTCTCAAATACTGAGAACCGCTAGATTACATAACCAAAGTTGATCTACAAGCTCCAAAAGGTTTAGAATGTTGTTTTGCACGAATGGATTATTGCAATAATTTTTAAAGGTGTAGGGTTAGTGGGAATCAATTGTGCAGTCCACTAATGTGTTATGGTTTGTTGTCTTGTATTTTGAATACATTTAGCCTTTTATATTGCCAATTAACTCTCCGACTCCCCCTTATTCAGCTGCACTATGTTCAAAACCTCACTTGGTTGAACAAACCGTTTTCTCTTTTACTAGTCTCCAGTAAGCAGCAGGGGGATTTTCGTTTTGCTTTTGCAAGTGAGAGTTAATAAGCTGAGTTAATTAACTCAAAACTAGACTGGGGTGTGGATCTCTAGGTACACTTTTTCTTTTTTCTATTCTGGAGGGAGCTTGACTTGTGGCAGCACCGACTCATCCACTGTAGGTGAGGGATCTGTATATGGGGATGTCAGAGGGGTGCCTGGCAGCAATAATAGGGAAGCAAAACAAGCAGCTGAGGCTCTTTATCTGGGATGTGTCAATGGCCCGGGCTACTGCTGTTACCGCAGAGCCTCCATGTTCCCGTGACTCCACTGGCTGGCAGCACATTATCCCCTGTCCTCCCCTGGCTGTTCACTACCTCACCAGGGAGCCCGGCTGCTATCACTCTGCTACTGCATGATGGGGAGTTTTAAACTTGTGCTGATCACAACTGCTGCAACTTCTCTCTGGAAGTTCTATTGCACCTGCTCCTACCTGATCACTTTCTTTCCCTGTACTTGATACTTACCCCTCTGTACCTGATCCCTTCCTTCTGTATCTGATCCCTTCCCCTGTACATGATCCCTTCCTATCTCTGTACCTGATCAATTATCCTGCACCTGATCCCTTCCCCTGTACATGATCCCTTCCTATCTCTGTACCTGATCAATTCTCCTGTACCCGATCCCTTCGCCTGTACATGACCACTTCTCCTGCACCTGACCCCTTCCCCCATACCTGATCCCTTCCTTTCTCTGTACCTGGCCCCTTCCTTCCCCTGTACCTGATCCCTTCCTCCTTGTAACCAATCTCTTCCCCAGTACATGATCCCTTCCCCCTTGTACCTGATCCCTTCCTTCCCCTGTACCTGATCCCTTCCTCCTTGTAACCAATCTCTTCCCCTGTACATGATCGCTTCCTCCCTCTGTACCTGATCACTTCTCCTGTACCTAAACCCTTTCCCCTGTACCTGATCCCTTCTTTTCCCTGTACCTGATCCCTTCCCCCTGTAGCCGTTGTCTTCCCCCTTGTACCTGAATCCTTGCTTCCCTTGTACATGATCCCTTCCCCCTTGGAACTAATCCCTTCCCCTGTATCTGATCCCTTCCTTTCCCTGTAACTGATGCCATGTGCTCTGTCTCTCTCGCCGGGACCAGTCATGGATTAGGGCTGGGTTCTGTTGAGCCTGCCCCCCAGGCTAGGCCGGGGCCTGGGGGTGTGCAGTAGCTGAAGCGAGGGAAGATGTTTCCCTGAGGCCTTCAACATGGAGGAGGCCTGAGAGATAGAGAGAGGAAAAAGAACCAGGACCAGTACAGGCTCTTGAGGTGCCCTGGATCTATGTGGACTTCAGAGCCTGTTCAGTGTTTCTTTCTTGGATTGTGGCTATGCCTTCCTACTGTTACAGGATTCGGTGAGTCTGGAGGAGATAATGGTTACCCCTAGACACCTAGAACCCCTATACCCTCTCTCCCACAGAATATGTTCAATAAACTGTTCAATTAGCATCATAATACTGAAGTGGACATCAATTTATGGGCGGTTAGTGCTAATGGGTGCAGCTGGAAATCAACCCCTAGACTGACTAGATGTGGACCGGGCAATCAGCGGCTCTTTGCGGGGAGTTATCGCTACAATATCAAGAGGGTCAACATTTTTACCTGATTGCCTTACCTTTTGTAGATGAGACTGGGAAAGAGAGTTGGGGCCTAAGAGAAGTAAATATGAATAGCTGATGTATACAATTCAGCTCACAATGCATTTTTAACAGTTTGAAGCAGTTTGTCAACTGACCACCAGATGGCAGCAATGTATTGTTAATTACATTTTGTATACTCCAGACCACTTTTTTTCCATAAATGTATTTAACATTGTAATAGATTATTTGTTGTGCTTAGTTTTAGAAATCCATGTCCTGCAGAGATTTGCAATAACGATAATACATAAAAAGAACAATACAGTTTACTTTGTTAATTATGAGAGAGAACTGAGTTGTATATACAGTAAATTAGGTCAGTGTATAAACTATCTTGGTCAGTGTAGCCATAGCTTTGACTATCACTCCAACAGGAAGTGATGGGAAATCTCCTCAGCAGGGACACAGTTGGCAATAAAAAAACCCCTGTATAATAACATCCAAAATCAACACTGTTTAAGGACTACAACAGACTTCCCATTCCTACTGGAAATTTTGAATGATCAGAGTATTAACCAACATCGAGGTTCTCCACAATGTAACTTTATTATAACTTTGCTAAAAACAAGTGTCTGGGGAGATTCCTCCATAAAAAGTGTTGGCTGTTATTTGAAACCCAATATAAATAAAAAAATCTCTCAAAAGATCATATTTATTTAATACACAAGTTGTCTAACATAAATGAGTATAGAAATACTGACAAAGAATACTATATTCCTATATTGTTGTATATCTAATGAGTATCCACATTTATCTAGGCAGGGACCACCCATCCAAAAAATCTCTTCACTCTACACCTTTAATTGGTGTTGTGGATGCTGAGCTAGTGTGGTCCACAGCGTGCCTCCATTCCCCCCACCACTGTCCGCCTACACTGTAGGAGATGAATATATAATTAGGTCTGAGTGACAACGCTTGTCTCTGGCAGCACATAATAGAGGTCACCAGCACTTGATGATATGTGCAAGAAGTAAAGCACCTTTTTTTTACCCTGTGTCACTATGTCGCCCAGAAGAAGGGGCATTGCGTGGCCTCGAAACGTTGGCTGTATGACGCATGTGACAATTTAATAAAAAAGTGCTTTACTTCTTGAACATATCATCGAGTGCTGGTGACTTCTATTATGGACTGTATCTGACACGGTGCCATCCGTGTTGTCACTTCAAGCACCAACCTTCCATTAAGGTCTGTATGCTGTATGGATTGCAGGTGATTTCGTATTATCGATCGTCTCTGGCAGTAGACACGCACCCAAGACAGACGCCGTCACTACTCATGCAAGGGGAGGCTTATAGTAATTGGATTGGTGCATTCTTTAGATCGCCCAACACATGCCATGCCTCAGTGTCACCAGGAGAGAATGACAGCGGAAAGTAAGAGGAGAACAAGACTGGCAGCGGGAGGTGGGGAAAGAGAAAAGTGTGCAGGAAGGGAGATGAATGTATAGTGGTGTTGGGTGGAAATGACAGCAGGAGATGGAAGCAAGAGCAAATAGACGGGTGGGTGAGCATGATTGAAAGCTGGAGAGCACATCAGAGGGGGGCAGTAGGTACTGAGCTCTGCTGTAACTCCTTCATGGGAGCGCCCACAATGTGGGTGTTCCTATAAAGAGGTGGAGCTCACAGCCAAAAATACAAAACATAAATATGTGATTTTTAGGAATGCACCGATGCCATTTTTTCCAGACCAAGTACGAGTACCTATACTTCCCCCCAAGTACCTGCCCATACTAACTACCAATATTTTTTTTAGTGTCATATAACAGTTTTTCTAAAACAATAAAGACTAATGATTTCAGGACAGTGGTGGAGAACCAACCAGGGTCCAGTCGTAGCTGCAAACACTATACGTCTGGTAGTTCTGTCACTGACTCCAAGCTGTAGAGGGACTACAGATCCCAGCAATACATTATACAGCAATGCAGAATAATACCACCAGCTATATAGGACTACAAATCCCAGCAATACATTACTGGACGGTCTCGCAGGCTGGTGGGGGCAGTGCGGTTTCTCAGGAAGGAGATGTGCAGGCCAGCTCTGTAAACAGGTGCTGCATGGTTCACGGGAAGGCTGCCGGGGTCCCCAGCAAAAAAAAACGTTTTCTCTAAACTGAATCTTCCTCTCTAATGCAACGGGGATGGGAAAGGGGGGAGGGGAATTAACATTCATGATAATTAACCCTATCTGTTCTGTTCTGGCAGATCTCTTTATCAGTTGCTAACTAGATTTAAAAACAGTGTGTCCTAACAAACGGGTGAAAATCTAGAAGCCCTTGTATGTCAATAAGAGGAAACTCAGAGTGCCCCCGATCTTGCTATGGGGCAGACAAAGTGTTCTGTCATTTTGAAATTGTAGGAAAAAGCTTGCAGTCTGTTCAAAGAGGTAATTAGACCTCCGGACCACCACTTATCATAGATATAGGAAACTGTTGAATTTAGCGCCAGTCTTTGTGCAATCACTTTTCAGGGGACACCACAATAACGTTAGTATTGTCACATATCTATCTTGGATGAGGTATTGTAGAAGGAATTTGGGAAGGTATAAGTATAATTGGCAGCCTCTTAAATAGTATAAATATTAGCACACTAAAGTCTGATCGTGAAACAACTGCCTTAGTGGGAAGTAAAAGTATTAAAGGAGAACTATGACGTGAGTGCTTTTCACTCACCTCATAGTTCTAGCCGACCTGCTACATAGCTGTAGCTCGCGGTATACTGAGCTTAGGGTGAAGGGAGGACGCTAGTTTGTGTCCTCCTGTTACCCTAAGGAGAACTATGGGGAAAAGCCCTAACCCCATAGTTCTCCTTTAAAGTACAGAAGAATTTTAATAAAATGTTAGAAAATATGGTAATAAAATAAGGCCACACTTACAGGACCGTCTATAACTTCTGACAGATCCAGGCTGGATATTTCTCTCATTTTAAAGTAATAGCTCAAATGTTTTAAAGAAGAATAATCACCAGATTTTCACCGGCACACACTTTAGAATTTCAAAGATCAATATTTCATTGATATATTTATTTTGTGAAAATGTCACATCAAGTCATCATCATGCTAACGCTTTGGGACCTTCATCAGAGCGACACAGTGACAATATGACTTGTGACATTTTACAAAATAAATATATCTATGAAATATTGATCTTTGAAATTCTAAAGTGTGTGCCGGTGAAATTCCTGTGATTACCGCTAGTGTTTGCGTGGCGCCATCCATGCGGTCACCTTGAGCACCACAGATATTGTATGCCGTAAGACCGTAGGAGTGTGAATGGTATTTGGAAACAATTGGTAAAGTAGAATAACGCCTCAAAGTTTCCCCAGAGAATAGGAGTTTGCTATAAATCCGACAGATTTAGGGGGTAAGTAAATAGATGGGGTATAAAGAAGATGGATGTTATAGTACCCCAATAAATCATGTAGCAGGAAAAGAAGAAATATTGGTTCTGATTATTGTCCTTGGATTGCCTGTAAGTGATAGTTGCTATATTATCAGTTACAATATACAGATCCTGTTCTCAATATAAACAATTCTGATCTCGAGCAAATTAGATTTTTCCTAATTTTTTACATTTGAAGTGATATTGAAGTCAAAAGGTTTAAAATGTGGATTAAATCACAATGGATGCTACTCCTTCAAGTTTTAGTTTCCTGCAGAATCAGCACTGGCCCCTTATATCCTGTCTTAGGCTGGCTCATTTCCCTTGCAGGGTCCTGTGGAGCCAGCCTTGTGTGTGCTAGTAAGCTGTGTGTGTCTCCACAAACACACAGGCACCGCAAGGCAAAGCGTTTCCCCGCTCCCTGTTCCCCCCTCTTCCCCTTTGCAAGCTAGTAGATGGATGATGGAGGCTGATCTGCCCCTTGTGATCTCGTGCTCAACAGAACTTCAGGGAAGCCGAGCTGAGGGAGTTGGAGATGTTTGGAAACATGATGACTGTAAGTGCTTGGGCTAACATGAAAAGAAACACTTTGCTGGGCCATGTATGTTTGATCTACATTCATTTAAAAAAAAAAAAAAAAGTTCGAGAGATCAATACTACTTTAACATTAACATTTAACTCCAAAATAATCTGTTTGCCTAATCAAGATAAATGTATCTGTTCTCACCTATGTATGATGGCAGCTGGCAGATGTTTGCAGAAAGACCCTGTGAAAACAATACATGGATTGGTCCATAAATTGTTGGTGTATATATGCGTATAGATGAGTAAATACAGCGTGTAGACACATAACACTCTACTTTCATTGTACTGCATTACATGGATACATGTTTTTATGTGTACACAAGGAAATTACCGACCTCAGATGCAGAATTTTCTATTCTGATTTTATGGATTGAATGCAGCGCACGTTTACAGATGTTTACACAGTGTGTGCATGAGGCCTTATGCAGTGTCTGCAAGGGTCCTTAGCGAACAATAGAACTCTGTTCAAGTCAGTAAAATAAAGAACACAGAACTGATCGAAATGCTGCATATTTTGTGGTGGTGTGTATGAGCCTTTATAGTCCCCATTTTAGCAAGCCGACACCCACAAAATTGCAGAGCAGCTTGTCAAAAACTCCCAAGCTGGGCCTAGGCGTGTGCAGCACATTGTGCTATGGGAAGTTAGTACTCCATGCTCCAACACAGTACAAACCCTCCGCAGCACACTAGTACAGCGCTGCATGACGGAATAAACGTCAGTCAAAGTACCGCAGCGCTGAATACTGAAAAATGGCCTGGCCAGGAAGGGGGTCTAAACACCTGGTCTTGAAGTGGTTAAATTGAGTTTGACACCCCTGCTCCACAGGATTGAATGGAGAATGTACTGTGCGAGTGCGGGCTCACCTCAGAAGATTTTGACAAGTGACTCTGTGGCTTTGTAGGAAATATCTTACTGGCTTTGGAACAGGTAAGTAAGTATAAGACTTGCAGGAGGGCTGTGGGCGGGGGACAGTACAAGTGTAAATCCAACAAAGGTGCAGTTACGCATTTAGCCCTCGTTCACACCTGGACGTTTTGTAGCGCGTTCTACGCTCGACGAACGCTCTACAAAACGCTGAAAAATATAAATCCCATTGTATTCAATGGCCTCGTTCCCACCTTGGCGTATTTCCGCCCGTCCCTAACGCGCTACAAAACGGCCCACGCCTGAAAAGGTACAGGTACTACTTTGGCCCGTTTTGTTGCGCGTTTCCATTGGGATACAGCCAAGTAGGCTTCGGAAACGCACGACGGCTGCGCAACTTTTTTACCGCGAATCGCGGTAAAAAAACACGAGACAGATGCGCATATGCAATACGCCTACGTGTGAACGAGACCTAAGACAGGCGCAATGACACGTTATATTACCTGCATGATGTAGAACCCCTTGTAGGGATCACATTTGGCAAAGATCAAAAGCCATGAACAGATACCTTACCTGATATTAGATATAATGAAGTTTCTGTAGAATAGTTTAACATTTAACGTTATGCATTCTCAATCATTATATTTTGTGGTTGTTTTTTGGAGGTGCACTTCTGGTTTTTTTCATTTTAGATTACTTTAGACAACTTTGTTGCTGAGAATTTGCTGCTTAATCATAGTTATCCCGTTTCTTATTTGTAGCTACAATAAAGAAGATTCTATACCATACAATTCAGGACACAGTCACTAGCACAGCAGATGGGTACCACCATACATCTCTCTTTCTTCAAGGGATAATCCAGGGATGATGAATGCTATGGCTGCTGGGCCGGGTGCAGGGGGGTGAATGCCATTCCGGATTTTAGACTAAAATATTATTCTGTAGGGCAACGAATGTGCATTAACGAGTGAAAGGAATTGAGCATGGCAATGAATGTCACAGCAATCAGTGCTAGGGAATAGGATGTTACTGAGATCTGTGCTAGGGGAATGCCAAATATATATAGCTCTCTGCCAACAACAAGCTAAGGCAGGGGTGAGCAAACTGCAGCCCTCCAGCTATTGTGGAGCTACAAATCCCATGAGGAATTGCAGGATTCTGACAGCCACGACTCCCAGAGACAGATGCATAGTGGGATTTGTAGTTTCATCACAGCTGGAGTTGCCCACCCCTGTGCTGAGGACTAGGGACACACTGCTAGGGATATGCTGATGACAAAATAGTACTCCACTAGAGACATGCTGGACACAGAGAACATTATGTCCAGGGAAATGCTGGTCACATGGTATCCGACATGTTGAGCACTAGAGAATTCCAGGGGCATGCTTAGCGAACTGCTGGTTACATGCTCGGCACATTGAAAACCCTGCAAGGTATATTTTAAAAAAATAGGACTGTTTAATAAGGAGATGCAAAGGACATATTGAGCATCTTGAATATAATTTCAGTAAATTGTTAAACCCAATGGGATTCTCTCTGTATGAGACTGCCAATGTAATCTGCCAGATACATTCACTCGCACTAGTAAGATCCTACCAGGTCATGCTGACCACACAGAGCTCTCTCTCGAGGCATTTTGAGCATTACTCGAGGCATTTGGGCATTACTAAGCGCAAGCGTTTCTCTGCCTGGGATATGCTGGTCACTAGAGACTGCACCTGGTACATGCTAGGTACATGGGGAATCCTGGCAAGATGATAAAATACATATGGGGAATTCTCCAAGGAACTTGCTGAACACACAAAACACTCTGGCAGGGACTTCTGGTGCTATCTGACATGCTATGATGCTGACACATTTGAACAGACTAAGTTCTTTTTACATCTCTTCTATAATATGGCCATTCCTCGGACGGGCACATTATTGTCAGTGAAGGATTACACTTAATTACTTGCTTTGGATGAAAGACCCATGTTTGCTCTAATTTTCATCAATCATACTTAAGAATCCAGTTACTGTAATGCGAGTAAGCTTGCCATAGTGTACAAACTATATAATATGTAAGTACAATTATGTGTTGTTACACAACCTTAGGGCCGTAAGGCAAGTTAAGTTTGAGTTAGTCTGAGATTAGAGTGTTGTTTGTGAATGCATGGCAAAAACATAGTAGGTGCATGACAAACACATGTAACATACTTTAGACCGTACACAGATGAAGAAAAAAAGAGACAGGCATTTAAACGGATATTCAAATTTATTCTTAAAAGGGGTTAAAAAACGTCCAAACATTTGAAATGCAAGGCAATATTACAGTGGCTTGCACAAGTTAAATCCTCATATTGCTTGGCAACTTTACATTTAAATTATTGCTTACAAGCTCTAATAAATACACAAACCATTTTATGTACAAATGTGATAAAGCAAGTCAGTACAAAACCAAAGGCTGCCTGTAAACAGAGATCCTGGGGAAATCCACCGCTGGGCTGCTTCATGCTCTCCAGGCCTTTTTCATAGTTTAAGCCTGCCACAGAGAAAGACCCTAATGTAAGAGTAATGTAACCCTTAGAGTATAATGTACCCCTTTGTTTCTACAGGAGTCACCATGACAAGAGGCAGGGTCCCCTTTACTACAAAATGTACATAAAACCAACAGTGTTCTTTTATACAGAACTGTACAGAATGGCAGTGCAGTGCGTTCAAGTTACTCTGGAAATATTGTCCTTCTTATAAGCATGTTAAAGGGCTAAGCAGAATAACATAATAAATATAGACAAGTTGTTTCTTACATTGTGCACTTTGGAGTACTGGAGATACTGCAATGCTAGGCTATGTCACAGGACCCAGACCTTTGTCAGCAAATTAACATTAGCCTGGAAGTGAAGGCAAAGGGCTAAACCCACAGTTGTAATACATACATAGAACCATCTTACAGAACTATACAGCCAGTTTAATAACTTAGCCCTGCCAGACACTGTACAATTTTCAAGGTGATAGAGTTTGGCCAAGACTGAGATCGGGGAGTAAAAGAACTCTCTCCTCCAGTCAGCATGTTCCATTTGTTAGATTGCTCCTCCCAGTCAGAATGCTGATGTACAGGGGATTACAGGAGGTTAGTGCAAAGAATGATTTTACCAGCAATAATGTCTTGTTAATCAATTCATGACTGGAATAAATGGGGGTCTCTTCTATAGGGCCACACTTGGTGGTGATAAGCCAAATAAAGGATTATTAAACTCTAAAAAATATAATTTGATAAAGCTGCACACATGTAGTAATCTCTGCTGCATATTTATATGGCATGCAGTGCATAATGCAGTGAGAATTCACAAACTGTACACATGAATAAAAAGGAATATTCCCGTTTTGGGTTGATTCTGGTAACTTTCCCAACCGGTTTCCAGAGGCCCCAGTGTTGAGTTCTTGGCACTTTAGTTCTACACTCCAGCTACCAACTGCAGCAACAATGACAATGTCTCATTCTTCCTGCTGGATTGTTCATCTATTTTACATTATAGTAAATGGAACAGAAATGGTGAGTCTCCCCTGTTGTAGGAGACTCCAAGGAAAGGGGAGCAGAGCTGAGTAATGCTGAAGTGAGAGCTTGTCAACCAAGTCCACAAGAAATAATAGGTTATTCAGTAATGAAAGTTACTGAAATACTAGTTGGATGGAGTGCTCCTGTAAATTATCTGTCCAACTGAATGGACAATGGGATTAGTTGGAGCCAACTGACAACTGAAATAGAGAGTCAATGAACTAGACCTTTCTAACGTGCTGCTCCTGTTAACACTACACATTAAACTGATTACCTACATTTACAGCAGCAGCGCATTTTGTGTTTTGTACATTGACAAGCTGTTTAACAGAAACAACCATTTCATCTGTGTTTTTTTAATGCTTTACATTGACCGCAACCATAAATTCATAATTTGAATGTAGAGCAACGTTTACCCACGGCACTGTCATACTGAAGAACAGCCACAAGATAGAGCTGTAAGATATCGCACTATATACAAGAAATGTTACAGACACAATGGCATTTAAAGGTGCTATCATTTCTCACATTAAATAAACAGAAAGAATTTAGGTAAATATTCCTGTGCAGGATTCAGTCTTACAAGCATTAAATGACCTCCTCATTTAACTACTTGTCAAATGAGTTTTAGTATTAAATATCATTATAAAGACTTTAGACTGAAAAGGGGAATGTCCCCCAAATCGTCTTCAAAGCCAATTTCAGTTTAGTCCAAAACCAACTGGACTATACGTGTTCAGAAATATAACATGCCCCAAACAGGAAGTGCCACAAATTGACCTTGTCTTTGGCAGAGCTCCTTTAAATGCCTAACATATGCACATAGCTTAACATGCAAAAAAACAAGTGAGAGCAGTAAATGTAGCGTTGTTAGTCTATATACATGTAACAGTTTTAGTAGAACTCCAGCTGGGAGCTTTAAAATGACCTTCCATCATTATATACAATATACATAATAGTAGAACATTTGGAAATACAGTATCTATAATAAAAATACTGTGATATTAAAGAATTGGCAATGGTGTCAGTGCCCTTATAGTGTTAGCAGCGGTGATAAATTGACCCTCAAAAGAATAATATAGTATAAGGATATTTGAGGGGAGACAATAGGCAGTCTGTCAAGTATGTAATCATATCCAAAGTGCTTTTTTTTTTACAAGATAAAAGCATTACACTTGATAAAAATGTCTGATAGTTAGTATTCATTGTGCCAGGACACCGCTAACTGCGTGAATCTGGCTATAGGACATGAATTATACAATTACTAACAATAAAAAAGCAGGTATCAAATTGCCTAGGTAGATATTTAGCACTAATGGGTGGTAACTGTCAACCCCATGTTTCTTCATACACACATCTATGTGTGCGAGTAATATGTTCAGTAAACAGAGAATGGATGACGGACATGAAAACTGACATAAGTGTAAGTTTGGCACTGCTGACCTGTATTACTTGTTGATAGGCTGCTCAGGGCACCCTGACCTGTAAAGCCTGCAGTATGTAAATTTGACTTTATTAAAATTTTAGTGTTGGGAAGAGTCCCAAAAACCAATGCAGGGCTTCAACAACCAATTGAGAGGAGTCTATATTGCAAACAGGATGCACTAGCGTTGTGCCAATGGTGCTGAAACGTGTAAAGCTTGTGCTGTGGGAAGCTCAGGTATTGGGGTGTCCCGCATGTGTGCTGCAGCAGCATATTAATGTGTTAGTACACATTGCCATCTGTAATGACTACTTTGCACATATGACATTATATCTGTCACCCTGGAGTTATAGATTGGCTTTAAGGTTACACTGGTCATATGTAAAAACTACTCATAATAGGGATTTTGGAAGCAGGCTACATCAGACCTATATGTATCACTCCATTGCACCCAAGGTTAGTCTCCAATTTTCTTATTTTCAAGAAAAGCTTGAAAAAACTACCTCTGTATAGCATATGCACTGCACGCACCCACATTGCATTGTGGGACATGGGAAACCCGTATAAATGCAGACTTTTAGAACAGCTTAGAGGTATGAGGTATGTTCAGAAACCTGCTTAGATTTAGTAGATTGTACATGTGAGGGTATGCATTGAAGTATGTGAAGGATGAACTGTTCTTGTTGCCTGTAGCAACCACATTCACCTTTCCTAATCACCATATTGCAGTATAAACATGTATGTGGGCAATAGGAGCAGCTTTTCTCTGGACCCTTTCATAAATCAGGTGTTTTCTATGTGTGGCCTGTCTATCCTGTTCTTTGATTTGAGCCTTACTATACGTTGGCAGTGCGAAGAACTCTAGATGGCAGTTTTATCAAAATGTGTCACTGGCAGTTCTCATAAAGGACAAAAGAGGTAAAATGGATCTAGTGAAGGACATACTAAGCTTGCGGTTAGATCGCCCCCTTTCTTTACTTAGTAGCACATTTTCCCAAAAGTGTGGCCTTCTCGCAGTCACCAATCATTAGATCAGTCTACATTTGGAGAAGAGTGACACCATCATTGGGCTATGGTTACAGCTTGGAATTCTGGTGGATCTCAGAAATAGAATTCCTGCAGGATATAACAAAGCAGTATAAGATTTAGCTGGGTAGCAACTAGGACAAAATACAGATTTCGGTGAAGTTTTGTGTTGATTGTGAATGGATGGCTGCAAGTACATGAACCAAAGTCTTCCATACTGTTTGCCAGTCCAGTTTTAGAATTGCATTTTAAGACGATGGTATTTAGTATTGTATAGAATAAGACGCTTAACGTAGTTAAATACAGACTGACAGTACAATGCAGGGAGGCCTGTACACATCTCTGGCACAGTTACCTTGCCTTATAAACCAGCAGACACTCTATTTTTGTAAATGGTTAAATTGTTTCCATATTATTGTAACAAAATGTACTTTAATGCAAATCATGTACTTTCGAGTATTCTGCTGAAGACTCCATTGTTCCCTGTGAGCCAATCGGAAACTTCCTGGAATGCAACACCCGCTGTTTCCATAATGTGTAAACCATCTGCTATACTGTGTACAAATATTACTTTTGTAGCCACATAAAAATAGAGCTTCATAAATACTTGGAGGCAGAATAAGTCAGTAGGAAAATGTTTTGTTTCTCTCTATTTAGGCATAGACACTCCTATTTTATAGGCATAGGCATTTCAGCTTGTTTTATTTCATGCTCAGTCAATCATGAAATATGTGTTTTCTGTGATTTACCTTTCTGCAAACCTTCTCCAGCCACGAGCCTCACAGCTGACACATTAATCCCATTCTCCCCAAGATCAGGAACAGCATCATTTGGCTAACTTCCTTTCTGTTTGGTTAGGGTGACATTGGATAGGGATTGGTAAATGAAAGAAAGCATCCTAATACCCACCTCTCACTGTCCTTATCTAATAAGGACATCACACCTATAGGCTATTGAGCAAAGTGAAAAGTATGGCTGACGCTTTGCTAAATAAGTAACACTGAAGTCTCACTTAATGCCTAAAACAAGGCAAATCAAATGTTGGGCAAGCTAGACAGCGCCCCAATCCATAAGCTCCCACCAAGCACAACAGTCACCAGACAAGACCAATCGGTTTTCACAACAAACCCCAATCTTGGACATTACAGCAGCTAAAAAACTGGAGAAAAATGTTCAGTTAGCATAGCTGAAAAATGTGGAAAAAAGTCTACCTGCAATAAGTCATATTCCAGTAAAAAGAATCTGCTCATCTGACATAACACCAGACATGGAAAGCCAGTATAATAGTCTGTATCAATATGCTACCACAGGCAATACAGCACTAAGGGCTTGATGTATAATAAGGTCAGTGGTAAGAGGTCTTGTTACTTTCACACAGCCACCAAGCAGATTCAGACCTGTCCTGAAAGTGTGACTGGTACCTTTGTATAATAACCTCAGTTTATAGTAATGACACTGACATCTCAGGCCCTAAACTATTGATCCAAGGCAAGGAACTCTTGCCAACTAGTGTCATCCTGGCAAGACTATCTCAGTGCCTCTGTCAGCATACTACATTCTGCATGTATACTAGGGAACACTGTGCCAAAGTTGGTGACCATGGCCTGGTCTATGCACTTTACAGCACTCAAAACACTGCAAGATTTATACATTGGAGCTGTAGAGATTTAGCTGTGTAGGTTCAGAAAGTCAGAAGTAGCTGCAGATGTTTCTTCACGTCAGGGACCAGCCACACAATGCAGACAGCATACCAGCTGCTGGGTAAAGCAATAAGTTCATTATGCATGACGCAGAACAGTGAATTTTCAGTCCAGCACTTCTGTTTGAGGGAAAGGGGGTCATGTGCTGCTCCAATCTCGGCTGTGTTCTTCTGTTTATTACTGATAAAACTCAGTAAAAATATTTCCTTGTAAAGCTACATGCTTGGCATCAGCGGTCATTCAGTCCAGACGGGGCTGTGTCTACACTCGCGGCTCTATCCTGTGAGATAACTCAAACAAAGTCTGCTGGTTGTCAATCACGAGCAGGTTGTGTGTGTAGAAACGGGCCTCCTGGCGTTCCTTCTGCGGCATGTCGTTGCCTTTAACAGCAGAAAAAAAATATAACAGATATATTATTATAACAAAAACGATTAGTTTATTTAAGCATAAAAAACTGCATATGTTAGAGTTTGCATATGCGCCAAATGAAAGGCCAAAAATACATTACAGCTTTTACAGAGCTCTACTAACTGGCACCTAAAATACATGCCGAAACCCATCAGACCTCTGTACTTGTGGTGCATTTTACTGGCCCTGGAACTCTACATAGCACTCCTGCATTTTGTGAAACAATTTATATGCATTATATGTTTCTTTTAAGTAGGGATGCACCGATACCGATACTAGTACCAGTATTGGTGCCCATGCCAAGTATATATTTGGTATGCTCCAAATGCTCCGATGCCTAGCCCGATATGTGAGCTTCCGGTACCAGAAAGCTGGGCAGCGAGTCATTACACGTTGCACGGCTTCCTGATTGGCCGGAAGCCGGCTACATGTTCCCTTGTCACTTGTGATGAGGAAGCATGGAGCTGGCTCCCTGGCTAATCAGGAAGCCAGGCAGCGTCTCATTACACACCCACCGGATTTCTGATTCACCAGAAAGCCGGCTTCATGCCCGCGCGTTACCTGGTGACGAGGGAGCATGGAGGCGGCTTCACAGGCCAATCAGAAAGCCGGGCACCGTGTAATAACGCGCTGCCTGGCTTCCCGATTGGCCAGCTTCTCAACCAATTAGGAAGCTGGGTAATCATCATTACATGGTGCACGGGTTCCTGATTGGCCAGAAAGCCGGCTCCATGCTTTCTCGTCACCTGATGATGAGGGAGCATGTAGACGGCTTTCCTGCTAATCAGGAAGCCAGGTCGGCGAGTCACACCGCCTGGCTTCCATAATGGGACTTCCGGTATCGGTATTTGGTACCGGCGAGCACCAGGAAAAAAATATCGGTACTTGTATTCGATACCAGAAGAAACGGTATCGGTGCATCCCTACATTTAAGGTGCACCTGTCATGGCAGAAATATAGGGCTGCTGTTGCTGGCTTTAATAATTCTCAGACCCAGAACAAGTATTTAACAAATGAATTGCAGAAACTCTCATATCTATCATTGCTTTATGGAAGGAAAGCCATTTGCATGACAGCCAGGGAACTGGTATTTTCAGGAGAAGTCAACAGTGGCAGATGCCATTTTCCTCTTACTATAGGTTTCTGTTACTGCAGAGTGCTGCAGAAAGGCCCTGGGTCTTTTATAGCAGATTTTCTTTTAAAATACAAATCTACTATTGGCCTCAGTCTTCACCCTCACACAACCTTTAACACAAATGGTACGAAGACTCGTCACTTTCTGCTGAACAGTCATATGTTTTCAATGTCATGATGGATTCACTTTAGGAAGCTTAGAGTTGCCCGCAGCCAGCACTGCCTCACAGAGCTAATATTCTGCAGACTGATGCACATGTACAAATTACCTATAACATGTTTAGTTGGGACAATTAAAGCCCATAGGCTACAATACAACAAAAATAGAAATGAAAAGTCATTCTGAGCCGTTGGTAATGGGGACATTACAGCAGTAAGAATACAATAAAGCAAACTGTTACTCTACATTTGAACTCAAATCATTTAGACGTCTCCACAATCTCTGTCTTGGGGGAAGGTGATTTCAGGAATTTAGCAATTTATAGCATGACTGGCATTCTACTCAAATGCATTCAGTGCTTTAATTACTTTTGTTTTTGCAAGCGGATCAACTAAATACAATAATTGCAAGAGGCTTTCTAAAGGGTGATTACTGCCTTTTTTGGGGGGTTTAGTCAAGAATGAAATGTTTCTCTTCTGCTGGAATTTAAATGATATTTATTAGCTGGGCTGCACATTGAGCCGGGCCATTTTCCATCTCAATGATTTCTGTGTACAGCCTTCTGTATATATAAAACACAAAATATGCATCAGGCCCACAGGTCATTTGTTTCGTTTGTTAGGGGCGGCCGGCCTGCATAAGTGTTTTTAACACAATTCCCAGATACCGGCAGCGGACACAGATTACTTGAATCCCCCGAGTATCCAAATGGCCAACAAAGTCTTGACGAGGACTTGGCAGATTAGTCTAATGTCTTTATAAAATTCTCACTGCTGATATTATGCCTTGAGGGCTTCTATCCGCATTTGCCGTGATCTCGCAGTGTATCCTATTCCTGGAGCTGTGGATGAGTAATGAGACGCTCTATGGGGTGAAAATACTCGCTCAGTTTGCTTTATAGACACAGCAACAATGACAACCATAAAAATTGTTTTCTGAGTATCTAGTGTGTCTGATGGGCTTTGCCATTTGGAGCAGCTAATTTCTGCTATGATCTGTTTAATAGTGAAATGACAATATGACACTACGGCTGGTGTTGGAGAGTCACACAAGGAACATTTTTTTTTTTTTTATTGCATACTTTTATGCTGGGCATTTATGGTACACCTTCATGTTATATTCGTAGTGGTTATTTCATCTGTGAAATGCAGTTGTGATCCCTCAGTTTACTAATGTGTTAAATGAATGATGCCACCACATCTGTCTGTGTGCAATGTTCGAATGAATCACTAGATTCCCCCTAGATGCAGCCATATTTATTTTATGCTGCTCATTTATACATACAGTAACACACTTTTTCTGCAGTGCTACAGTAATATATACAACATATACAGTAAATACTTCCCTCATTATGATATGATTTACATATGTCTGATGTGTGATGGGGTAAACTTCCTGCTTCAAGAGAGCTTAGAAGACAAAGAAGCTGGCTGAGTGCTGCAGCTCCAGGCCAGGTACATGGTAATGACATAGCAAGTCTCAAAGGCCCTACCTTAATCAGCAGTGATGGATTACTATAGGGGCAATCTAGACAGTATCCTGGGCATTGGCAGTGCAATGGGTGTCCTATAGCAATCCCATCAATATCAGTATTATTCTTATGCAAATAACTCATTCTTATGCAAATAACTCAGAGAAAGTATTTATTTGCACAGGTTCATAGGTTTGCAACAGGGCCAGTGGATGCAACAAAATTAAATGTAGTGACATGTGTATGTGGGGCCAGTACATGCCCTTTTCTGTAGCCACGTGTCTGCTTTAAAGGAGAACTATGAGGTGAGTGAAAATCACTCATCCTCATAGTTCGAGCCGACGTGTGACAATGAAACTGTCACATGTCGGCTCAATAGATCGGGATGTGAGAGAACACATACCGTCGCTCGCTCACTTCTCCATCATGTCCCTGCAGAGAGCGATGACTGTCAATCACGGCTACCTGCAGTGATTCCCCCCCTCCCCGATCCTTCAGCGCTGATTGAGGGAACGGACGAGGGAGGGGGCAGGTACAGCTGGCGCTGCCTCTAGATAGGCAGAGCCAGCTGTCAATCACGCAGCTGGGTGGATCTCGACAGTAATGTCGGGCTCTGTCCCTGCTGCGGCGGTCTCAGTATTCCGCAAGCTGTGGCTCGCGGTATACTGAGCTTTGTTTATGTCCTCCTGTTACCCTTACGAGAACTATTGGGAAAACACTTACCCCATAGTTCTCCTTTAAAGTCAAATTAATCTTCATAGTTATTATAAAAAAATAATTTGTTGCTACATTATAGACATGACAACTATCATGTAAAAGGCACCACAAAACCAGAATTTACTGTTATTACATTTTCCTAAACTGTAAAGTGTAAATGTTTAATTTGCCCACCACCCTCCATGTGTCACCTGTGAAGCTTAGATGGTGGATGGATTTTTGGAGCATAGGTACCACATAGATTGCATCCACCTTTGTATGTACCATATGCTTCATTACTGAAACCCCTTCAGGTTGTCAGGACTATACTGGTTGTGTCATTGGAAATGTTGTACATTCTAAAAGGGTCTCTGTGGATATTTTTATGGTTGTGTCAGTATGGTACTGATTATGTTTCTGTGGACATATTTTTGGTTGTGTCAATATTGTACATACAATCTTTCTGTAGATATTACTGTCAGTACAGTACTGATTGTATCTCTGTGGACCTGCTTGTAAATTGTTTTTATTTGGTTATAATATTGTATATTCTGCTACCCGCCTCTCCTGCTGCCCATGATGACAATCTCTGCCGCAGGGAAGATTAACTGGTTGCTAAAGATCCTGAAGAATCTTACTCTCTAGTTCCTGGTCCCAAGCTGCACACTGTGGTTCCTTACGGCAGTCCCTACATCATTACAGAACATAGTAGTGACATAGGGACTGGGGGAGTGAGCCAATGGCACAGGAGACCAGGAATCTGACACTCGTGAAAGTGTGAAAGCACACAGAAGCATTAGTCAGCAGGTTAAATTAACAACTGCAGATCAGCGATGTGAGAAGCAGGGAAGGTAAGTATTCAATGTCTTCATCAGATTGAATATAACGTTTGATTACAGACACAGGGCCACTTTAGGAATAACGGTTGTTTCACTGAGCAATTAGACACAAGCAACATATGCAGTTGGGGCCTACCAGTATAAATAGCATCCAACAACGTGTATATTTACAATGTATTACTGTTGTCTACACAATTATGCAGAGAAGCTCACTTACCAAACTGGTTGTTCCTGCAGTATCTCAGTGATCGGACTGTGTCAGCTATCATATGCTGAGAATAAAAAGGAAAGATAAAGTCATCAGCATGCGCAGGACACAATATCGGGCCCTGAATGCACAAAATTCATCTAGCATAAATCCTTCGCCTGCAGTCTCTTCCAAAGTTCTTGAAATAAATGAGATTTTTTCTTTCTCAGGGATTAACCTATCTCCGTCACTTAAGAATAAAGTATTTGGCAAAGAAATTACCATAATTATTCCAGTCTTTGTATAATTCACATTTTCTATTCCCAGAACACAAGTCAGGGCGTAAAGTGGCTTACTGTCTCTGTTATTAACCACTTGGATCCCATTAACATCACCTTTGCCAAAATGAACCCTAACAGTGCACCCCTCTAATATTATAACTGCTCAAGTGCTTAAGATGGATAAGTGCAGTGCTAGCAAAAAAATGAGTAGTTTGTGCACAGCAGTTTACTAAAAAAAAAACTAACTTATGCACTCACGCACTTTATCTGGCCCACACAGCTGCAGAAGTGGAACAATGCGCAGAGTAATATGGGCAGCGCTGTGTGTTCATAAAATGAACATAATGCTCAGCAATGGGTGTTACTTGGAAAACTATAGGGATTACACCGGATAAGAAGCCATGTGCTGGAAAAAGATAATTCTCTCTGGCACCGTGCAGCTCCAATCACACTGTTCTGTGCAGATTGCCATTTATGATCTCTGCCAATGTCCACGTTCTTATTACTCTGACATCATGATTATTGGTTTTATTAGTGGAGGCGTAATGACCAGCCTTGAGCTAAAGACTGGTCACTGAGCATTACTTCCTCTTCTGATGTCAATTAAGTTAATTTGGTCATTCCGCATATACATATGCCCTATGTTTAAGGCTCCCTGTGCACTAATTAGCAGAGTCACGCTGAAATACATGTACAGCTTTCCTAATACCTTTTATAGGTTTAATGGGGCTCCATGCCTGCATACATCCTCCCATGTCAGCGTGATTACCATTTTATTTGACATTTTTGTGTGACTGCTAAGTTACAGTGGACAGCAGCACCGGTTTTTAAGCTGCCGAGAGGAGGGTTATTACAAAATAAAAATGTCAGGTGGTATGCTACCAAACTTTAGTAGAGTTATATCAAAAAAATTTGCTAGTTTCTTTCTTCGGGTGGATAATCAAAGAGCAGTAACCAATCAGATAGGCTAGATTCAAATGATAACATTACATTATAAAAATATTTTATTAGCACGCATATTTAAAGTGATACTAAACTCAGGAATTCTTAAAAATGCATTAAGGGCAGGTTCACACCATTTTCCGGACCAAACCTGGTCCGGAAAATGGTGTGAACCTGCCCGCAGTTCCAGTGCATTCCAGACCAGACAAAATTAGATGCGCAGTATTTTCCTGGTCTGTTTTGGAACAGACTGCGCTGGTGTGAACAGAGGCCAGAAATAGCATAGGGATACATTAAGATGCATTTTGAGTCCGGAAACAATGTGGTCTGGTCTGGATGTGGTGTGAATGGACCCTTAAAATAAACAGGAACCATAGCACACTCCTTACCGGAATTCCCATTTGATGAGGATGGGTGCTCGAAATGACTGCGGATGGCACCGCCACACATGAACAATAGAAAAATGTCACCAGCACAACATAAGTTGAAAAAGCGAAATATTTTATTGCCAATAGCTGTATCTCATTGGCAAGCACTTTCGGGGCCTCGCAGGGTCCCCTTCATCAGGCTTAG